ACCATATCAACTCCCCCCAGCTGTTCACACCAACTCATGGATCTTGGTGTTTTGTTTGACCATGAACTCTCCTTTAAGCCATTTGTTGGGTGCCTGACCAAATCCCAACCTCAGCCCCAAAGCAGCCCAAACCCAATGTGCTCCACAGCTTTACCCTCCACAGATCATCCAGAAGGCAGAGAGCCTCTGTAAATCACATTCCGCCTCTGTATATCTTTGAGGTGTTTTTCTATATGTAATGCACTATACAAGTACAAGTTGCTTTGTTTAAGAAAGGGGCAGAATAAGTGCAGAGCTGGGAAGGGAGAAGATGAGAGATGTGTTCATAGATTTATTTATGGGATTTGTATTTGTGATGATTAAAATATATTGAGAATCTTAAATGTTAATGGTTGCAATTTGAGAAGGAAATAACTGGAAACGGTGGGTAAAACTTGCTATTCACAATAATTAACATGTTAATTTATGCCAGTATTGTTTATTTAACACTGCACATTTAACTCTGTTTGAGTATTTTTACTTAAAAAACGGATTTCAAAGTTTATTATTATTCTCATTGACTTAAAATAGAGAGAATTCAGTACTTGATGTTTTATCCTTAAACGCTCGGAGACATTATACTACATGAAAGGCGCTCTGTAAATGCAAGTTGTTGTTGATGTTATTTCCTTATTGAAATTACCAGATTCTTTCACCTAAAGCTGAACAGGTGGCACTTTTTACAGAGTGAGCAGAACTGAACCATCACATGCCACAATGTGCTGTGGCAAAATGTGTTGAATTGTACCCAAGGACTCAAAAGAGAGCACTGGAGTGAAAAATAGCAGCTATTCAGAAAGCTTAATAGTCAACAGTTAAGGATTTCCTGTGCTTGAAATGGGATCCACAGCTTCTACAGGAGTAGATAAGGAACAGATCACAGTTTCTAATTTCTAGGGTAAGTTATAAATAAGTTAATTGGCAGAAATGTTCACCTCTGCTGACGGATATATCAGCAAGGATGGTTCTCACCGTAACAATATGTACTGTATACAACACTGCTGGGTATTCTGAGGGCTGAATGCTGTATCTGACACAGTACCTCATGGGCTTTGAACAGGTCCACTAGCATCAGTAACAAGAATAACAATGTTGTCCGCAGCGTCTTGGGATATCCTCCTGACATAAAAGGCGCAATACAAATGTAATTTGTTGTTGTCGTCTTCAGTCATTGTGCCCCCAACTTCTGGAACTTTGCCTTTAACCCTCCATCTCACCCCCTCTCTATCCATATAATATTAATCCTTTCATAATCCTTATGTTGTCGAGACATTTCAAAGCACTTCACATGACATACTGTAAAGTGGAGTGATTCTATCTTGTGGGCAAAATGCGGCAGCCAATTTGCGCACAGCAATGTCCCACAAACTACCATGGAGTGGGTGACCAATTTTATTTGAGAGAATTGTTGACCAGACAACGGGAGAAATTCCCTTCTCTTTAAGAAACGTGCCATGGGAGCTTTATTGTCCACCTGAACAGGCAGACAGGATCTTGGTTTACCGTCTTGTCTGAAGACGGATCCTCTAATCTATACTCTAATCCCACTTTAAAACCTACTGCTTTGACCATGTTATTGTTATCTTTCCCCTTCCCTTTCTTCCTAACCTGTCGTCCAACCCCTACGAAGCATTCCAAGACATTATCCTACGTGAAGGCACTATACAATGCAAGTTGTTGTTGATGTCTGCATTGTGAAACAAATCTTTTAATTCATTTCTGTAGGAATAAAATCAGTGCTGGTTACCACACAAATAGTTAGCAGTGATACTTGAAGCAGAGGAAGTTGATTTTCAGCTTTAATCCACTTATAGGGTTGATATCATTTAAAAATGTGGGAAATAGAAAGTTTTATTTGGAGTAGCAGTGGCACTAGAGCTAGACATGTGATAGTATAAGAGAGCACATTCGCACACAATCAGTAGAACGTGAACGTATGGAGGAGTTACAACACTCATTGGGCTGTTGATGGCTATTCCTTCTGCTTTGGAAACAGTGACACACTGTGATCACTATCTGCTGTATTGTTATAGGAGGGAGCCAGTTTCACCCTTTCTATAATGGAGCAGATGTTCTTCCATGATGTACTGAGTCCTGATCAGACAAGTAGACTCAGAAGGAGCTTTGGGAATTGTAGTCTGGAGTGAAAGTTGCGGTGAATCTTAACTCCTTCCTTATGTTAAGAAGCTCCACTAATTTTACTCCATTTTTATTGAGTAGTGAGGTAATAATAATAATCCTTGCATTTGATGTAGCGGTTTATTACATCTTCGAGACATCTCAAAGCGCTTCACAGAATATACTGTAAAGTGAATTGACTGTATGTTTTGTGGGCGAAACGCGGCAGCCAATTGTGCACAGCAGTGTCCCACAAACAGTTATGGATTGAAGTGACCAATTTATTATTATTTTTCTGAAGGAGTTATTACCCCTGGCAAAGCGATCCACCAATCGACTAACAACCAGGTTCCTACTTACTGCTAGGTAAACAGAGGTGTGTGGAGTAAGGAAACTTGCCCAACATTTCGCCCTCCGGAAATCAAACCCAGGTCACTCGCTTGCGAGGTGAGTGCTCTAACCACTGAGTTACAGGACTCCACAATCAAGTCATAATGTATTGACTTGATTCTAAGGGGTGGGTATTTTTCAATAAAATATGCCCCCCAATATTGGGAGGGCTGGGGGTTGCGAGCCTTAGAATCACGGGCGTTATGTAAATGGTAAGTAGTAATAAGTACTTATAATTATTACAACAACAACAACTTGGATTTATATAGCGCCCTGGTGTCTCAGAGTGCTTCACAGTAACGGATCCCGGGGCCGAGCCAGGGGGAGGGGGAGGAAGGTGACCAAAGGCGCGGTTGAAAAGAAAGGTCTACAGCCGAGACCTGAAAATAGGAAGAGAGAGGGTGAGGCGAAGGGAGTGAGGAAGGGGGTTCCAAAGCCTCGGGGCATAGAGGCTGAAAGCACGGCTGCCGAGGGTGGAGCGGAGGACTCTGGGGACAAGGAGGAAGCCAGACCCGGAGGAACGAAGGCACTTATAAGTAATTGGGAAGGGTTTGATGCTGGTAGTCGTCAGAGTTTGCCTGCTTAAGGACCCTGCGAATGCTTATGTTTGTGACAACGCCCTCCCAGTGTATGTACCTGCATTTTCTGGGTATCCTGTACTTTGTGTCACACCAACACTTCAACAGGTTTATGTAAACCAGGCTGACTGAGATCACACTCCTGATCTAGTGCGTCACGCACATCTTTCTGACCCAGAGGTGAGAGTGCTACCAAATGTATCAGACTGGTACCAGTATATCAAAAGACCATTCTGTTAGTACAGAACACAGGTATGGCTGTACATTACACTAACTTCCTTTGTCCACAGTGCTGGCTATTTTTCTCTCACAAGTTGAGATATGATCTATACACATTTCCTTTACTATTTTGTGGTGAGCAGAGTTTTAATGCCAGATCACCTCAGAATCCAAATGTGTGTTGCTACTCAACGATGACTTATATCCTGCTGTGAGGTGATACTGCTGCCAGATAGTGTACTGGGACCATTTACAGCTTTAACAAATAACCTAGTCAGATATTAAATGCGGTGATGTAATCAAGGGCTAGGATTTAAAGTTGCACGAAATTTAATTTGAACAGGAATGTTGTGTAGTGCATGAATTCCCTATACAGTTGTACTGGCTCTGGAAGTTTCTACAACAGGAAATGCCTGCTCACACTTCCATTGGCACATGTGAAGAGAAGGCCTATATGGCCTCGCTGCAGTCTTCAAGATGCAGAGCTGAACAGCTGGAATCTATATAACTCTCAAACATACATAACATTCTGTTCATTTCTAAATGCTTGTCTATGTAATATACTATCCAGCAGCCTCCGGTGTTTCAGTTCAATCAAGAAATGGACTTTCCAGGTGGGAGAGGGAGGGGTTAGATCAGGTCAACTCTACTCAAAGTTGATTCTGCAAGCTACACTTTGAAATGTTAATTCCGAATGACACATTTGGATTCTGACACCAGCTTCCTGTTATGCTGAATCTCCATTTGCAAACCCTGAGGCCAGTCTTAGCATAACTAGAGACCACTTGGGTGTCATCCCAATCTCAAACAATTTGAATGAGGTCAATTTGGAAAGCTTTAATTTTGTCCATAAACTCCTGCACTTTTCCCTTAATTAAGTTGGGAATTTGTAAATGGCTTGGGAGCTCATTCCTAACTGCATACGTCCAAACTGGCTTTTAACTTTTTAATGATGTTTATCCATTGCATCGAGGACAGTTGAAACTGCAGCATGCCTCACGCAATGTGAAGGTTGCATAGATTTTGTTGATTTATGTATGGGAAATGTTATTTTCATAGAAAAACACCATATTTCAGGCAAAATCTAAACAGATGTGTTCTAGGATCTGTGGAAAGGTTAGTGTTCACGGCTTTTGGAGTTTTCTTTATATGTGATTAGATCAACTGCAGGGTAGTGTTTATCTGCCTGAGATCAAACAGATAAACACTACCCTGCAGTTGATCTAATCATATATAAAAAAAACTCCAAAAGCCGTGTTCACTACAACAACAACTTGCATTTATATAGAGCCCTTCATGTAGGGTAATATCTCAGAGCTGAAACCTGAAGCCATTTTTCAATAATTTCTTTTAAAAACTACCAGAAAACCAGCTTCATAGTTGAGACTGAATTCACCAATTTGCTAAATCATTTCAGGACGAGTCAGTCTATATCTTTGACTGCATTTTCGGTCAGTCACCTCTGAATTCCTAACTCCCTTTTTTAAAAGTTTTAAAAGAAATTACCAAAAAATGGCTTCGGATTTCAAAGTGTGTTTCGGAGGATCACTGTCCAAATCACCAAAGTTCATATCAATGGTGGTGCGCTGTAAGCAATTCTGTTCACAATGGAATTCTGTTGAGCTTTGCTCATCTGAAGATTGAAAACATCCTTACCTTGCTTGGAACACTCTTCCGAAGGCTCCCTCTCCAATGTCTCGCACATACTCAATGTTATTCCTTGGGTATTCAAGGCCGAGCAGTTTAGCATTTAGAAGTAGGGGTAATCTCTGGTACATTGGGTTGGGATGAAGTCTGTCGAGCAGCAATTCTGAAGGAAAAGCTGTTAGAGTCGGTGTTTCAGCTCCTCTGTAAGTAGAAAGAAAATGTGACTAATAATGATAGTATTTAAATAAACACTTTGAAGCCAGATAATAGTAGTCTGCATTTTATAACATCAGAACATCTCAAGTGCTTCACAGCAATTAATGCCAAGTGTAGTCGTTGTTTTTGTAGGCAAACATGGCAGTTATTTTGTACACAATGTCCCAAAATAGCCATGAAATTACTTACAAATTTTATTTGGAGGATTGTTAGTCAGGGAGAAACTCCCTTCTCTTTTCAAGTTGTGTCCAGGGAACCATAAAAATCAACACAGTATTAGGCCATTTGACTCAGTGTCAGTGATAGGCTCTTCATTTTCTACCTAAGGGACAGGGATTTGGTTTAGTATCTCATCCAAAGGACAACACATCTGAGTACTGTGCTGGAGTGTCAGCATGGACAGCTCAAGGGCGAAGGGTTGAACACACAATAATAATAATAATCCTTGCATTTGATATATAGCGCTTTTCACGTCGGGAGGACGTCCCGAAGCGTTTCACAGAACACACTGTAAAGTGAATTGACTGTATATTTGTGGGCGAACGCGGCAGCCAATTGCGCACAGCAATGTCCCACAAACAGTCGTAGATTGAAAATGACCAATTTATTATTGTTTTGGGTTTTGGAGGGATTATTATTAGGCTGTGTGTGGAGTAAGGAAACTTGCCCAAGGTTTCGCCCTGCCTGGACCCAGAGACGAGAGTGCTCCAACCAAATCAAGTTTACACCAATCTGAATTTTCCTTGTAGCTGAGATTGTTGTTTTCCAGGCAAGTCTTTGTTCAGGCTTTGCTGACTAGAGCTCCACATTTCATCATGTATATATAATGATCCTTGCATTTAATATAGCACACTGGGAGGATATCTCAATGTGTCTTCACATGATTTACTACGAAGTGCCGTGATTGCGTATTTTATAGGCAAACGCAGCAGCCAATTTGCGCACAACAATGTTCTACAAATGAAACGAATTTTACAAACCAGAAATTGCAATTAACTAGAAGTTGCAATCCAATGAATTTCTAAAGTTGCATTGTTCAAACCTGGTCATAGAGACAAACATAGAAGGGGCAGGAAGCAATTCAATTCACATTACCCATTTGCATTCCTTTTATGGAAATAATAGCACAAAGGCATCTCTCACCTTTTCCTATTCTTCCATTCCTTCTGTTGCCGGTGGCACATTAGAGCTGCGAATATCAGTAACACGATGACTGCAAAGCCTGAGATAATGAAAATGATGACAGTCATGGAGTAGGTTGCAGAGTTAAGGATCGGGGTGTTGGATGTTCCTGCCTTTGTCTCCCCACCTATTATTGGGGTTCCTGGAAAGAAAAGGCACATTTGAGAATGTGATTATTTAGTACAGTACTTAAGAAACACTGGAAACATTCACACGTGGTTGGCATGAGAACGATCTGTCTGTGATGGGTCTTCGTTCTATGTGGTGAAAAGTGTAGCATATAAGGTGAGAATTCACATTGCATGCTCCGTTTTGCATGTCTACACCCACCAGTGTCAGCAGGAAGTTATAGACAAAATTATTGTAAAAGCACACAGATCGATTTTATAAACTTTGTTTATTTCTCACAACATATATTATTGAGGGACCACTTCTGTTCCAAACCAGAAAGAAACGCCTGTGAGTCAGGCTGACTTGCCTTCCATCTATTTCTCTCTCCCTTTGGGGAACACTTCTTGCCTTTGAAGTTGCCTCCAACAGCCTACCTGAGATCAAGAGGTAATATAGGTAGTTCTATATTTCATTTGTACTTGTGGAGGATCAACTCTTTGCTTACCAGTAAACCATGGAAGTCTACCTCATAGCAAGAGGCCATTCAACCCATTGTATTTGTTTTGATGTTTGCTCCTCCAATAATGACATCTATTCTAATCCCAATTCTTTGCTTATCCCCATAGCCTCCAATGTTCTTCCTCCATATGTGCATATCTGATTCATTTATAATTTCCTCCAATCTCCTTCATACCAACAGCTACCCTTAGCAATGTATTCTATATTCTGGGAGAGAAAAACTTCCCAAGTTCCTTATTTATGCTCCTAGTTAGAATCTTATATTTATGTCCTCTTGTCCTTGAATCACCTTTCAGAGCAAAAGCTTCCTCACCATTTATCCTCCCAAGCCGTTTTGTTCACTTACATCTACTCTGCTCCAGTGAAAGTAATCCTCCAACCTCTCCTCAAAGCCTTATCCTCTCACTCCCAGTATCATCCTTGTAAATCCACACTGCACCCTCTCACGGCTTTAGCATCCTTTCTATAGTGCGCTGCCTAAACCTGCACACAACATTTCAGTTGTGGCCTACCCTTTACCTTATAAATATTCATCATAATTTCCTTGCTTTCAAGTTCAGTCATGAGTGATTTATTCTTGGCTAGCATTGAGACATAACAATTCCACTGCACTTCTGACACACTGTATGTGGAAACACATACCATTGGTGCATAGACGGACATTGCAGAATTCCCATCTGATCGATCGATCCATAGTGTAGCACCAAGGACGCTCACTCTCACCGCCAGGGTTACGGCAGTAGTTTTCCGAATTGGTCAGTTCTGGAAATATTTCTGGCAAACGTCTATGGAAATGGGAGCCTTTGTGGGTGGAAATGAAAAGAGGGATAACAAATCAAAACAACATTTATTTTGTCAGTGACAACTGCAGATCTCATGAGAAGAATAGGTTTTCTAACTCTGATGAGTTAAATGAGTTTTCAAACAAAATTTGTAATTCCACAAATATTTCTGAATAGACTAATTTTACATTTCGCTCACAAAATACATAGTCACTGCACTTTACAATATATCCTGTGAAGTGCTTAAGTGCTTTGAGACATCTCAGCAACATGATAGGGTGCAACATCAAATGCAAGGATTATTAGCACTTTAGGATGTCCTCCTGACGTGAAAGGTGCTCTATAAATGTAATTTTGTTGTTGTATTATTATTATACAAGTTGAATTTTTTTTCTCTCTCCCTGAAGACCTCGACTCACACCGGGGTACAATTCCATTGGTTCCATCTACTCATCATACCTATTTCAGAGGTCACTTTCTATGTATAGATAATACAGTAGTAATCCTTGCATTTCAGGATAATGTCTAAAAGTACATGACAGTATATACTACAAAGTGCAGTGACTCTGTGTTTTGTACGTAAACACAGGAATCATTTTGCATAGAGCGATGTCCCACAGATAGCCACAAAGTAAATGAATGATCAATTTTATTTGGGGGATTTTTGACATTGGGAGAAACTCCCTTCTCGTTTTGAACAGTGGCGTGGGATCTTTAACCTCCATCTGAACA